AAACACATGGAACTTGAATACCTGTTGACTGGAGGGAGCTAAGGAAGATAATACTTTGTATCCATGCTGTAGTGCTGGAAAACATCCTGTCCTCTCTTGTCTTTCTGTGCTGTTTTGCCCTTAGTTTATGCTTTTTCAGCATTTCCTTTTTAAGGACTCCAAGAACCAGTAAACTTCACTTGGGAGGGTGGGCAAGGGACATTTCCGGTATTGCCTCAGAGATATCTGTATATTCCTAGAATCTCCCATAGCATGGTGGTTTGGGATCTTTATTCTCATCCCCTGAAGATCTTGCCTGTCCTTTATATTGGTGATATTATGTTAACTAGTGAAGATTATGTCCTCTGAAAGGACACAGTACAATGATTATGCACTCACTTATACATCAATAATGGGTTGTCAATCCCAACAAAATTTAGGAGCCTATACTATCTGTGAAGTTTCTGGGGATAATTTGATGAGACAAGATCATAGTATAAGATGAAGTGAAATCTTCACCCTCCACTTACAATAAAGGATGTACAGATTTGAGGGGGGACTACTTGATTATTGGCATACTTTTACCCTTACCTACTTCAGTGCCTATGCCCACTATGTTGAACTAATTATGAAGGGATCCATTTCAGGCCAAAATATTCCCCTGTAAGAATCATTTGAAAAGGCAAAGACTTTGATAGCCTAGGCACAGACTTTAGGTCTTTCTTTACCAGGTGTACCAGTGCAGTTAGATGTCATCAGTGTAGCATTTGGCATGAGTTGGCCTATCTGAGAATAACTACAATGGAAAGAGCTACCTCTGGTCTTTTGGTTACCGATGGAAGATCGCTAAAATTAACATACCTCTTTAGAACAGCAGTTTCTAGAGTGTACAGTGCCTCATCATAGGTGGAGCCATTGATGAAGACTTTATCAGTAATAGAACTGGCCTACCGCTAAAGTGGAGGGTGGACAGCCTATTTTACCAGCATGTAGCACAGACTCTTCCTTTAAATAAGTGGAATGCATATTTACAACAACATAGTGTTCTTTCCAATAACATATTGACTTCCAGGCTATGAATAGCCTTGGGCCTGGTTACTTACAAAATGCCTCACCAATTCAGATTGCTGCCCCCTTGTCTGTGATCTCACATGTGCTAAAGAGGTGGCCCACCTAGCTGGAAGTGCTTGATGTACAAGTTAGCCCAGCAAGGGGGACTCAAGTGTCTGGATGTTAGTGTAATATGACCTGCCACTGACACTGTCTGGTCTGAGGCGAGAAAAACATCAGAGCAGCCAGTGGGAATTAAGTGGAATGGCTTAAAACTACTGGCTCAGTTGTGGCCAGTAGTTTTTTTGTATTGATAGTTGGACAACATAGCAAAGTCTTGTATGGTGGATGGCAAAGTGACAAAGAGAACAATGATCTCTACTGCTGGGAAAACCTCTCTGAGGTGATAGCAAATGTGTGAACATGAAGGAAGAACACAATGAGCTCTGTATCATTTACTCCCTCACATTAGGACTGCTGCCCTCTGGAAATATGCAGGCATGTGTTTTGACTAATGTGCAGATTCTGGCCCCAACCCAGACCATAGACATGGACTTGTGAGTCCATAGAAAGATTGAATACAAAACTGCTAAAGCAGGGTAGCAGGATTGCTCGTAGAATATGACTTGGTGATTACCGCAACCCCGTCAATGTTTGATGAATCTGACGTGGTGAGCACTGCGCACTTAAGCAACCTCAAATGGTGAGGTATTTCAGAAACAGTCAGGCCCAGGACCATCTCACATTTTATATATATTAATTTGCTTGATGTTTCACAAGTCCTGTAGGTTTGCTTCTTTTTCTTCTTCTTCTTCTTTTTTTTTTTGGACTTTCAAATTATGTTTTCTGGTTCTTTCTTCTGTTTGATTGGCACTACCTGTAAAGCCTGCAGTTGAACTTTTCGGCTGAGTCACTGTATTGTTCATGTCCAGAATTTATGTTTGGTTGTTTTGTAATGGTCTTTAAAATCTCTGTTGAATTTCTAATTTTGTTCATGTATCATTTTCCTGATATCATGTAGCTGTAAATTTGTTTTCTCATGTTACTCACTGAACTTTTTAATTATTTTTAATTCTTTTTAGGTAGGTTACAGATCTCCATTTACAGTTGATTACAGAAGTTTTATTTATTTATTTTTATTTAGTGGTGAGTCGTGTTTCCCTGGTGTTTTTGTGATCCTCGTAGCTTATGTTGATGTGTCTGCATTTGAAGAAGCAGTAACTTTTCTCAGTCATTACAAACTGACTTTGGCAGAGAAAGCCCTTCAGTAGTCAGCCTTTGCTGAGATTCCATGTCCATCAGTGGACTGATTGTGGAATCTGCGGGCTGGAAGGCCCAGTGCTGCCAGGGTTGCAGGGTAGTTGTTGAAGTTCATCCTTTTGAGAGCCCCCAACACTTTTCTTAGTTCTTAGCTTCCTTTAGGTTATCTAACTGTGCTGATTAATGTTCTAGATATGACAAAAATGGATTGCTCAGTTAGTGCCCCCGCAGATTCAGGACGTCAGGAGCTCATTTCACTATGCCTCATGTGAAAAATGATAGTCCGAGAGGATCTTCTCTGTGTGGCACAGTGCTGGTTTGGAAGGAGGGTCATAGGGGCATGGTGAATCTAGTATTCTTATTGGTTCTAAACTTTTATCAATATTATGTTCTACCAGTGTTCTGTAACCTAATATTTGGATTCTGGAGCTCTTGTAAAGGATCTTGGTCCATGGATGGTTGTTAAATCATTGTTTGTGGTGGCATGAGCACTAGGACCTCCTATTCAACCCTCTCACTGATGTCACTTTTGTTCATTCTTAATATCAAAATGAGGTTTTGTTTCCTTATTATTTTCTAGGTGAGCTTTGCTGAAAGTGGTTAATGTTAAAAATCTTTATTAAAAACACAACCAACTTTTGCATTTTAAATTTAAGGAGTACATTAAAAACGTTTTTCTTTTCTATTCTTTTTTTTGGTTCTGCTTTTTATCATTTATTTTGAAAAAGCTTCACATTTTTAACTTCTTTTAGTAGTCTTAGATCACTGATTTTTAACCTTATGTATAAGTCAGTGAAAATCAATTATGTATCTCTATCTACATGTATACACGTATCTCTGTTTACACATATAAACTTGTATAACTATAAATGTTCATCTTAAATGTATTTAGATATATTTCACAACACTTTATTCCTTCATATTATTGTATAATATTATTAATGAATTGTCTTCAACATGAAGGAATAAAATGTGATGAAGAACATATAAAGATGGTACTAGTCCTTTGGAATTTGTAGAAACTTGTTCTGTAGACCAGCATATGATCAGTTTTGTGATGTGTATGATGTTCATTTAAAATGAATTTAGATTATTTAGCTCTACAAATGTCAAGTGATTTATAAATAAATTTAAATTTTATGTTGTATATTACATATATTTATAAATCATGCCCTTAATTTGTCACCATATTTTCTGAATAACTGGGGGATTTTCTTACTTAGTGGCATTGGTGTGTTAAATTTCTTACTAAGATTCTAGATTATATCTTTCGTATTTTGAATGTTTTAATGGATATATAAATATATATGATTTCAGGACTTTTAAGAGGTTCTTGGTGTAATTACTCTTTTTGAAAACATGAAATACCCTTTGTGGTAATGCTTCTTAAAGTCTATCTTGTTTTATATAAGTGTAGCTATATTAGTTTTCTTATTCCTTGAGCCTTTCTATTAAAAATTTCATCCTTTTATTGTCAGTCTTTCTGTACACTCAAATGTAAAGTTTTGTTTACAAGCAATGTACAGTTTTTATATTGATAATAAAATTGTTTGGGCCAGGGATTTAGCTCGGTGGTGCAGTGCCTGCCTGGCAAGCGTGAGGTACTGGTATCCCCTTGCAAAATAAAATTCTTTTCTTTTAAAAAATATTTTATATCTGCAGCTTTATTTTAAAGAGAGTAGTAAAAAAAAAAAGAACAATAGCAGCATATCAGCATCACAGACATAAACAAAACAAAGCAAGAACATTAACAGTGATACAAGTTTACAAAAAAAATGATAGGAATTATCAGTAGTTTTTATATTACATATTGTTATCTTCAACTACATTGCTCAGATAAAATTTTTGTCTTTAACTTGAAATATTTTATTATATATATTTAGGGTATATAGCATGATCTTTTGCTGTACTCACAATACTTATACATTTTTAAACAACTGTCAAGGTCAAGTATATTAACATTTTGAACATCTGTTTACCTCTTTTTATATATGTGAATATGTGGAAAGAACATCTAAAACAGTGCTGGGCGAGCCTATGGCACACATGTTATTTTTTTCCCTTAAGACAAAAGATGTTAATGTGTGAGTTGCTTTTTCCAAGCTAAAACCTTAGCATTCAGGTTTAATTGCAGTGTTGACACTTTGCAATAAATAAGTGGGTTTGGGTTACAGTTTGGAACTTGGTCTCTAAAAGGTTCGCCATCATTGACCTAAAATCTACTCCTAGGAAGTTTACAGTGTATAGTACAATATTGTTAACTATAATCCTCATTATGTATATCAAATATTTAAATCTAATGTTACTGCATATCTGCAATATTGTGCCCTTTTTCCTAAATCTCCCTATTTTCTCACCCAATCCTCCATCTCGTAACCACCATTGCATTTTCTCTTCATATGTATCCCTAATTCGACACTGATAATGCCTAACACAGGATTTAAATTTTAGCTGAAGGAAATAGAAGCAAGTAACCAGGTAAGCAGGTTATAACAACCAGGCAAAGCTGCCTACACCACAACCTAAACTAACTGAAATTTTACCTTGCTCTGGGCTGATTTAGAGCTTGTGGTCTTTCAGACTGAGTGCTGAACCTATTAGTTTGGCCTGATGAAGAATGCCAAAAACATACTTCACAATATTTAAAAATATATACCATTAAACTGCATGCAGTTCTATTAAAATGGAATTCTCTTAATTTTTATTACCAGGTAACCTTGGACGGGTGGACCAGGTCTCTGAGTTTGAGTATGATCTGTACATTAGGCCGGATACCTGTAATCCACGTTTCCGAGTTTGGTTCAACTTTACTGTTGAAAATGTAAAAGAATCACAGGTGAGAGAAATAGTGGATATTATCTTGTAGTTTTGGTAAGAAGAATATCCTTACTTTCTTTAATAATTATCAAAATAATGACTATATTAGAATACATTCATGCAAGTCTGTAACAATGATAGAGTTTTGTTTCAAGAGATACAGAGAAATAGGTAAGGCATACTGACTTTTATTATCTAATTGTTATTAAATAATCAAATATTTTGTCTAAGGATGAAGTATTCTTTAATGATTTAACCATTGGCATGATATGCTAGGCTTTCCTCAAGGACGTTACAAGGAGACAGTGGAAGTGACTTAGTGTTATGTTTACATAGATAGGATTCCTTATATCTCTTCTTTGTAAAGACCCATGAGAGACATTTCTCAAAGGCTTCAATTTTAGACATTTCTCAGAGGCTTCAATTTTAGAAGCTTTTCTTCTATATTGTTTACATTTTTAAGACTTTTTTTACATGACTCCTCATATTTTCCTTTTGCTTTGGCTGCTGGGAAACTCAGAGTCTATTTTACATTTCTCTTTAGTGACTCTAGATAACTTTCTGTGATTGTGTTTCTATGTACTAGCATTGTTAAAGTTGTGAATATATTAATTTGCCTCTAACCTTGATTTCTTCAGGTCCCTTTTTAGTTGATTTTTAATAATCATTTTCAAATCTTGTTTTGCATGAAAAATTATTGATGAATAAACAGTGATGAAAGTATAATCCTTGGTAATCAGTTATCACTCTGTTATATTGAGACAACTGATCATGGAAGACTATGTGCAAACTTTACAAACACTCTAATTTTATGATTTTAAATATATGAAGCACAGTCCTGTTACCCAACATCTATCTTCTTTCGGACGTATGGGAAAAAGTGAGGTGTTCATTTCCCCTCTTGAGTCTACTGTTGGCTCACTTTTTTACCTGGTTACTTGCTTCTATTTCCTTCAGCTGAAATTTAAATCCTGTGTCAGGCAGTTCAGTGTCTGGAATTAAGGGCTCTTTTATATTTCTCCACACGGTGCTGTCCCTTTCATACTGGCTTCAGGAAAAGGGAAGCGGGGTGCAGCCACATCACCTACTACCAGTTATCTTCATTCTTTACAATACGACTGACACAGGACTGGAAGTATGTAATGATTACTGGAGTTTGGGAACTAACTGGCGTAAATCAAATATAGGAGAGATCTCTGTGAATTGTTCACTAGGTAAGACTTATCTCACAACTTTAGGATGGAGAGAGAGGAAAAAAAGTTAAAATCCCCATAAGGAGACAACTTTAGCTCCTACTTTTGTTTTTTGGTTTCACTTACTTTCCCATGACAAAAGTTCCTTTGTCAGTTTTTCACAAAGATAAAATCATATTCTTTCTCTCTGCTGACCTTATTAGAAGCCAAACTTTACTTGTATGGGTTCATGTATACAGTTATCCTCAAAATATATTTTCCAACATCTGTGTTACTGAGTCTAGAGAGTATAACTCACAGCAGGAACCCTTAGCCGCCTGTATTGGACTGAGTGCAAATTTGGGCCCATTGTAAGGGTCTCTTTCTATCATGAGGTAAACAAACGACTTCTTGTTTTTCTGTTGGTACTCCTGTGTCAATAACTTATAGTTGTCACATACACATACTTCTGAAAAATAAACAATAATTATAAAGAAATATAGTTAAATAATGTGAAAGAAGAGATATATTGCTTGAAAGCAATATAATTTGGTAGGATTTCTAAATGTGAAAAAAGATTAATTTTCTTCTATTTTCATAGTGTATGTGTATTCTTTAGCTCACCCACTGCATCCAAGAACCCACTGATGCCTGGAAATGGGGCTGGTTGCTTTTCATATAACAGAATCATCTATCCTCATTATGTCCCTTGCCAAATAGAAACTTAGAAGTAGCTCAGAGATTACACCATTTCTTTAACCTAAGGTTATATTAATTTTTGGCCTCATTTTTCATTCACTGTAGTCTCTGTAATGATTGTCTTTATCTAGCTTGTACTTGTAGGGAAGAGAATAAAGGTGAGGTGCTTAGAGAGTTGAGGAAATGTGTTCCTTCAGTTACACTACATGACACACGGTCTTTTGCACAAAATTTGTCATGTTTTCCAAACTTTCTTATTTACACTTCCAGTTTGCTTACATGGGTGATCTTTTTATTGTTTAAAATGTCACTGTCACAGTGTTATAGTTTGCACATTATATGTTAATACTACACAATCTCTATTGAAATCTTATCTGTCAGTTAAACAAGAAAGTAACATGATGTATAAGGAGTTATTCTAATAAGGGAATTGGGCATGTTTTTTGAATGTTCACTTTTAAAGTTATTAGAACTAATGTTTCCTTTGTCTCTCTGAGGTCTAACTACATATCCAATGTTATCTCATCCTTGTCACAATATGCTTTATCAGCCTCTTTCCGTGGGCCACTGCTCCATCAACTGTAATCACATTATATAGTCATGGAAATCTGTCTCAAAATGGTATAAAGATCTGCTGGAAAGATATCATATATATCTCTAGCTCACAGGATATTTGTTTTCATGGTTGTGTACATGGAAGAGAATGGTTTTGCTATTAGTTTGACTTGTGAGGTCTGTTTTTATAATGTCTCTTCCTATAATCTTCCCATAATCTTCTTTCATCTCAATTTCCGTTAAAATGAGAGCTGCATAAATGTAATCTAGTCAAAAACCTTATTTAGGGCTTGGTACTAGCAGACAAAAAGTATTAGTTATCATATACTGACTCCATTAAATGAATGTTAAAATTGAAGCACAAATTTTAGCTTTGGGCTTATTTTCCTTGATACTTTTAGGAAGTGATCGAAGCTTGGAATATGTGGTGCTATATCCCAGGACTGATGTATTAACCTCCTAAAAAGTAGTTGTTAAAGACTAAATTTGTATGAGTTGATGAAAACTAAACATCCTGATACTTTATAAAGAAGTAATTTTCTCTCTGAAAAACTGATATTAAACATTCCTATGTGGAAATTTATTGTCAATGCAACAAAACGTTTGTGTGATATGAAAGCAAATCTTTCTATTTAAATACTCATAATAAAACTTTAGCCAATAAAAGTAAATAAGTTGGTTATGCCCAGACTATTTAAACTTTTTTTTCTTTTATATTCTTTTTACCTCTTTGAATTTATCTTTCTCCATTCTGCTTGTGGAAGTAGTCAGTGCTCAAAGTAGTAAATTTGGAAAATACAGATAATTATTAGAAGCAGACAGCAAACATGCACACACATACCTATCATCTTAATGAGCCAGAAGCAAAGGCTGCTAACTTTTGGCATATTTATTCCTAGGCTTATTTTATTTTCTGTTTTATTTCTGGAACATAATTTCATACATAAATATCTTGCTTCTAAAGGACCTGTCATGGCTTATATCTTGATGTTCTCCCAAAGCCTGATGGACTCATAGGTGAGTCTTTTATGAGTGACTGGATCACACTGGTGTGTGATACTGGATCAGCCCACTGATTGGTTTAACATAATTCTGGGTGTGGATGATGGTTTTATTGAAGAGGAAAGGCTCAAACTGGGTGTGAATGGCACCAATGAATAGGTTTGTAACACGGATGGAATCAAAAGGGGAAACAGAAGGAAGCTGCTGTTGCCTTCTGCCTGCTACACCATGAACTGTTTCTGCTCTGCCATGCTCTCTGCCATGCCACTCTTGGAGCTACCTGATTATGGACTGAAACCTGTATAAACCTCTCACCTAAAATAAACCTTTCTTCCTTTAATGTGTTGTGTTGAATATTTTGTCTCACAATGATAAAATAAATAAGACAAAAACCTAAAGATTATCACAAGCAATTTTGTGTCATTAAAAACTTACAGACATGGCTGTCCAACAGTAATTTATTTGATCATTTGTGTATTCTTAGGCATAAAGATTATTTTCTCTTGTATGTTGTTGAATAACACTGTAGTAAACATCTTTATGTAGGAAATGTTACTCCATTTCATTTTGCTTCCTTAGGACAAATCATATGAGGAGAACCTATGAGAAAAAAATGTATATATATGATAAAGATCCTTTATGCATGTTTCTAAAGTGTTGCCCAAAAGTTTACTCCATTTTGTTTTCTTACCAACAGATATCTTTTCTTGAATTTTTTGCTTGAATCATTTCATGTATTCAAATGTTTACATATCCAGAGTAAAATGCTTTTCCCTCCTCATTTTCTTTGAAACTCCACACAGAGAAATTATGATGCTATGTGCCAGGCTTCTAGTCATAAAGACACTGATTGCTTTCCAGCAATGGCATGAAACAACAGAACAGATTCATGTAATATTTTGCCTTTTTTCTGAGTATGTCAATCTTGTTTTACCTAGGTATTGCAACAAATCATCCTCTGAGTTATGAAAATGAGAAGGATGAAATATTTCTTGAGCCAGGTGTGGTGATGTACATTGCTAGTTCCAGCTACTTGAAACGCTGAGGCAGAAACATAGCTTGAGCCTACGAACTCAGTTCCATGCTGGGTAATATAGTGAGATTTTATCTCTTGTAAAAAGTGTGTACTGGATTTCTATAAGCAGGAACATAGTTTAAACACACACACATACACACACACACAAGCACACACTGTTATATATCATGTGTTTAAATTTGACTTCAGAAGTGTACTGCTAAAAAAGTGCTACTGTTTCCATTCTGCCTTTACTCCTTATCCACCTCTTTTTGCTGCTCCTCCTTCTTTCAAAATCTGCTCTCATCATCATTATAAGCAACGTACAGTGGACCTTTTGTTAGATAAAGCTGTGTCTAACAGCTTAGATCTGCCACTAACAAATGCTGTGGCCTTGGGAAAGTTACTAATAATCTCTTTATACTATTGATTTCTATATGTATTCAATAAGGCTAGTAGTATTTAATAAGGGTGAAAGCTAATAGCAGTACTTACTAAGGTTTATATAAGAATTACATGTGGCCATGCATATAATACACTAAAGCTAATGCTTGGTAAATAAAAATACTTAGTAAA